CCTTCACCCATAAATTTAATTTCTTGGGACATTTACATGCAATAAGTATTAATTGGAGATCTTCATGTGTAAAAACCCCCAAGAATAATAACCCACATCTACATTCATATGTCATTATATAAATATCAAACTTTGTGGGGGGATAGACATGTGAATATATGGTATGCATGTAAATTTTCAAAAAAGGAAAACAAGTTTGTTTTACTCATTTATAAAGTGAGTGGGTTTGTTTGAGGCCTAGATTCAAATCTAATCTAAGGGGGTCTTTGGAAGCACTTCTTAAGAGGATTTATGGTCAAATTTAATGTGTGAAATTACCTCTATTCAACTTAAATTCAGGTTTTGATAAATCCTAAGGTAAGAAGAATTTATTGGATTTATGATTTATAGATTTACTAAGGGTTTGTTTGAGGCAGCCGCATATTATTTAAAATCTACTTATTTGTAGACTATTCTGATAATCTGATAATTTGTGGATTGTCCCGATAAACTGTCTGGTTGTTTGGATGAGTTTATTCAAAACTACATTTTTTGTAGTTGTTTCTAGATAAATAATCATTTTGACTCTGTTAAGTAATGTTGGAGAAGGGCACTGGAAGTAAATTTCGATCAAATACTCATCTTCGAAGAGGGACGCAAGGTCGATCCCGCACCTCGCTTTCTTAATAATAAATATTCCAACGTTTTCAAGCCGTTGATCAAACGTATAAACCATACGCTACTCCAGCATTTTCAAACCACCGCCGCACCACATAAGTGCCCCCATACAGATCCCAAGTCGTGTTTGCATCCAAACACCCTTAGGTTACCATTGTATCAATGTTTATTTTTGAATAATAAACTTAATATTCAAGAAATTACTTGATAAAGAAATAATTAGAAAATTAAAAAAAAACTTAGAATAAGGCTAATGATGATATTTAAGGATAGCATTTTAACTATCCAAATTTTAAATATAATATTTTAATGATTCAAAATTTTAAATGATAAATTTAAATTTTAAATAGTTAATATTTTGAATGATTCATAGTAATATTTAAATAATAAAAACAAAATAAAGTTAAATTTATCACCTAGTAAAATAAGTCTTTTTTCTTGTAAAATACTGTTAAAAAATAAATAAAAACATTTATATTATAAATATTAATTAAAATAAAAAAATCGATGCACCAGCCGGGAAACCCGTGTCTGTACCGTGGCAGGGTACTATTCTACCACTAGACCACTGGTGCTGTTGTTGAATACAAAGTTATATGTTCTTAAACACACTTGCTAAATTTTCTCCACCGGCTTCAAAATCTCTCACTTTTTCATCTTTCTCAACAAAGCCCTAATTCCATATCAAACTCCATGACTCTCCTACAGACCATCACCTGCACTTTTTCATCTTTCTCAACAAAGCCCTAATTCCAAATCAAACTCCATGACTCTCCTACAGACCATCACCTGCGCAAAGGAGGCGGCCGACGCCGGCGATCTCTCATCCTCTCCCACGATCCCCATTACTCTAAACGCTAACGACATCCTCCCCACATTAAAACCCGACGTCGAATCCCTTACTTCCCTTCCGGTCGTCCGCCTATCTGGCTGGTCCATCTCCACTTCGGACTCCAAAATCATCGAATCCACCACCAAATTCTCCAAATCCTTAAATAAGAAGCTCAAAAAGCCCCAATCCCTCGATCGAGCTGAATTCCTCAAGCTCCTGAACGGCTTTCTGCAAGCCATTGGAGAGAATCTGGGTCTCCGTTTGAATCCTGAGGTATCCAGTCTTCACAGCTTTGATTTTGCGCGGACTGCGATTGGGAAAGTCGGGGATTTTATCGGCCGGGAGGTCGCCGGTTTGATCGTTGATGTGTGCGTCGTTCTGGAGTTATGGGAATTGGTTGAAAGCCTAATTGTGCGCGGACTTGTCGGGCATTTATATACGACGAATCTGGTGGAGAAGCTGGTGGAACAGAATCAAGCTAGATTGCTTTGCTTATGTGCGAAGCACATCACCGATCTTCGTCCTTCCGAGCTTCTTCTTCTGCTGAGATTCTGCTTGTCTCCTTCTGATAAAGCTTATCGAAGTTTTTTGGAAGTGAGAAAAGAATGGGAAAGACAAGCTTTGTTAGCGATTGAGAAGGCTACAAACAAGAGTATGTCTAAGAAAGCTGTAATCTTGGCCAGAGAAGCTTCTGTTTTGCTAATGGTGGCGCATGATGGATTCTCTGCTGCTGAATTATGCCTCCATTATGTGTTTGGGAGGTCTGATATAGATAATTTGGTTTTCTCTTCTGCGATTTCGATGCTCGGTGGAAGGGAGATATTGAGCTTGATTAGATATTTGGGCAAGTGGTTGAAGAAGTATGAGAGTTTCCCTGAAGCTGTTCCTTGTCCTCAGGCTAAGTCAATGTTGAGCTTAAGTGCTTGTGAGGATATTCCTTCTTTCGATTCAGTCTTGAGAGCATTGGGTTTGATTTTGGATGGAAATTTCTCTTATTTGGTTCTGAATTCAGAGTTTCATGATGAGATGAGTGATTTACAGAAAGTTGTGAGTGATTTGGTGTCTGAAGCTGATGCAAGCAGTCCTGTGAATGTTATTGTTAAGCATTTGAAGTCTCAGTACAGGAAGAATGGAAACCACCAGGCTGAATTTGTCTGAATGATTGATATCAAGTTCAAAGATCAAAATCTTCTTCTGTATCGGTAACCTTTACCTGTTACTTTTGAGCTAAAATGCAATTATAAGCATTTTTTGGATGAAAGTTCAGTTTTTTAAGCCTTTCTGTTAGTCTTTTGTTAAATTTTGTATGCCTTTTGTTGTTTGATTTATGAATGCTTTTGTAGTTGTTGCTTGTTTAATTAGTGTGATAAAATTTGATTGATTATATGTTTTTTTTTTTGCAGTGTTTTAACCATAATGTTTGAAAATCAATCTGTTAAAAAAAATTTCTTGGGGCAATTACTTACATAGCACACAATTCTTATGTATTTACATATCTCAGACCTAAATTTTATAAAAGTGAAATACACCTTTTGATGCGTAAGTTCAAAGTATCGAAGTGAGATATGTAAATACACAAGAATTGTGTGTTACTTATGTAAATGTCCCTTTTCTTTCTTTTGTTTTGATGTTCCATGCTTATCTTCATTTTAAACTTCGTTTTTTTCAATCTTTACTGCAGTTATGAACAGAAAATTATTGCTGTCCAGATGTTTGTTAAAATTCATCTTTTTAGAAGTTCTGTTGTGTTCTTACAGACCCCAATAACATAATCTTTCATTTTTTTTAAATGCTATGTAAAAGATTTGGGCGGTATAAATGTAAAAAGTAAATTTTAATTGTTAGATATGTAAATCCATAACATAAGGTTGGTATGTAAAAAAGGTACATTAATCAGAATATTTCAATCAGTTTGAGATTAAGATGTTGTCTGGTAACATATGAGATTTAAGTTTTTAAGATTTAGTAAATCTCGTAAATTCGGATTTACTACATCTTGAATGGGTTAAATCCCCAAAACTGTGGAGAAACTATTTTCTTATGGAGATTTACAGACATACTACTTAATTCCTATCATTTACATATCTAAAACCAAAAGTTCAATTTTTATTTATGTCAACTTATCTATACATGAAAGACGTGTTTTCATTTCAAGAAAAGATGTATTTCACTTTTTAAAAGTTAATAGTGACATGTTTTATGTGATATGAAAGATTTGGGCGGTATAAATGTAAAAAAGTAAAGTTTATGTGTTATATATGGACATAGATAGGAATTGGGTGTAATGTATGTAAATGCCTCGACAAAGCATTGTAAGTTTGCTTCCCTGATGAATATCATGATGAGCATGAACCATGCATGACTTTCACAACCCAACAGATAAAAAAAAATAACACTGTTTTCATGTTTTTTTTGTCAAAATGAGACATTTATTGCACTTAAATTTTGAATTTTGAAGATTGCATTACTTGATTGCATACAAAACAAGACTGGACGTTCTGTAATACTTTAATTTATTGAAAGTGCAGAAAGATAACAAGAACAATGAAGCAGACTAAATGCATTGAGGTAACTTTTGTTTAGTTGTGGAGCTTAGTTTTTGTTAGGGGCAATTACATTTATTGCACTCATAACCTTGACTTTTACAAATGTAACACTCCTGTTTCATTCATTTTTCCAAGTTCACTCAAATATCAAAATTCACAATAGAATCCCAACCCGTAGAAGACAACAAGAACAATGAAGTGGATTCTTGAGTTGTGGAGCTCAACTTCTGTTATTTTGAGAAACTTTATCTGTATTAATGGTCTGTTTGTGGCAGTTGCTTGAAGAAGTAACTGAAGCTGCTACAGAAAAAACTAATTTTCAAAATGCTGCGGTGACTATTACAAATTTTTTTTGCAAAAGTCAGTCTGTAAGCAGCTTATATTATATACCACACAACTCTTTTGTATTTTCATATCTAACACCTCAACTTTTATATTTACATGCATGTAACTCACTTCCTTAATACAACAAAAAATATCACCATTGCTAACTTTTCATGTATAATTTTACACTAAAATGTTATAAATTTAAATAGAAAAGTTTAGGTGATAGATATGTAAATACATAGTTCTTGGGGGGATTTAGATGCATAGCACACAAAACATTGGAATTTGCATAATTCACACCACCCAATTTTTCCATATTTACGTATTTAACACCAAGATTTATTTGTACATTTATATCACTCAAATTCTATTTTAATTTTGAAAAAGCAAAGTACATTTTTTCTTGCATATATAAGAAAACTTAAGTGCTATTCATGTAAATACATAGGAATTGAGGAGAATGTCTGTAAATTTAAAAAAAAAAAAAAAACTCTTGTTTAAACGTTTGACTAATTTAATAAATAAATTTTAAAATTATTCAACTTCAACATTTTGATTTAGGGTATGTTTGGGGCAATTGCAGCTTATTTGAATAATCTGTTGAAAAAATGTTTGGGGCAATTGCAGCTTATTTGAATAATCTGCTGAAAAACTTCTGCTGATAAGCTAGGTGCGGTGACTATTACAAATTTTTATTTTTTTGGAAAAGTCAGACTGTTGCCAATAAGCTCCCACTGCACCTAGATAGGTGCGGTGTGAAAATGTTATTTTCTGCGTTTTAAAAATACATAAGCTGTCAAAACGCAGTTTACCCAAACAGGCCAAGTGTGTTTTCAAAACGCCACCGAACCAAATAAATTGTCCCAAACAGACCCTTACCCGTGGAATAAATAAAAAAAAAATATTTCTACTGGAATAGCTCTCATTGCACCTAGATAGTTGCGGTGTGAAAAGACTGTTTTCTGCATTTTGAAAATGCATAAACTATCAAAGCACAGTTTACCCAAACAGACCAGGTGCGTTTTCAAAACGCCACCGCACCAAATAAGCTGCCCCAAACGGGCCCCGTGGAATAAATAAAAAAAATATTTCTACTGGAATAATTCAGCATTATGATTTCCCTGTGGAATATTTGCTATTGAATCAGAAAATAAAAATATTTCTCACTCCATTTAAAATGCACCAGCCGGGAATCGAACCCGGGTCTGTACCGTGGCAGGGTACTATTCTACCACTAGACCACTGGTGCTTATTCAAATTATAATTTGTAATATTAAGATATCATTTTTTTCTTTTTCATAAATAAATAAATTATTTTCACTTATAATAAATGAACGACGATTATCTGATATAAAATGATTTGCTCTATCAAATGATTTGCTCATCGTTCATTTGATAGAGCAAATCATTTTTTAAGCGTAGTGCACATTTATTCGTGACATAATGTGAGACTATAGTTTCTCATTGTAAGATCGCGAATTCTAATGTCACATATTATCTTTTTAGCTCTCATTTTCTAAAGAAACATTATTTTTGTGTCATAAGTACATAAGAAAGTTCGGGGATATGTAAATGAAAAAATTTAGATGCTATGTGAATAAATTAGCTACATCCGATGTGAATTATATCATTCTTTGTTAAATTGAACTTGTGGTGGCTTATGTTTAGAGGTTGTCTGGCAATGGATTTAGCATGAGATTTAAGTAGAATGTGAGAAAAATCTTGCCAGACAGTCATTTTGGACAAAATAAAGCCGTGGGTTTGATAAATTCGGATTCCACCGATTTCGATCGTAAATCTAAGATTTTCTAAATCCTACGAATCGGCGGATTCATGAGACTTACGGCGCACTGGAAGGTAAGAACGTCGGTGAGAACAATATGATAGTTTAAATATTGTCGAACACTTTTCTTAGAGTCTTCTGGATACTAATAACTTATGTCTAATATGTTACCAGCAACGCCTTAGTGTTGTAAATGAATCAACAGATTCATGGATAGTATAAATGTATTTTTGAAGGAAATTGTCTTCGAATTTTCTATACATAAACATATAAGAATCGGAGGGTATGAATGTAAATGCCTCATAAGTAAATATTTCTATAGAAAACTCAAAATATGTCGCTCCATTTGAACTCAACGACAATCTCTCTACCAGTGGGAAAAAAATTGCGTACAATAGACGTACGCAGTGCTGCATATGATTTTGAAGTTATACTAAGGGTATAAAGAGGTTATATCCACAATATAACCCTTTGTAACGTTCATGTAACATTCTGCAATTTAACTATAACCTACTAAAAAATTCTTAATATATGATAACAGAAACGCGAAACTTTTTTTGTAGATTACAAATAGGTTACACTAAGTTACATTGAAGTTACAAGGGGTTATAAGATGGGTATAACCTCCTTATACCCTCCGTATAACCTCAAAATCATACGCAGCGCTGCGTACGTTTATCATACGCAAATTTTCCCCTACCAGTGGGTTAAATATACTTTCACATAAATAATAAAATTTTAAATAACATTCACCAAAATTAATTTTAGAACAATTTGAATTCAAACAAAAGGTTTTATGTCGATCATTATGCCCATAAAATTTGAATTAGAACATAATTCAACAAAGGAACATTTGCATACATACCACTCAATTCATATATATATATTTACACATCTAACATTCAAACTTCCATTTTTATACGCACCACCTTACTGATACATGAAATGATGCATCACTTCTTAGAAGTTAGAATGGTGGAATCTTTGATGTGATGTGAAAGATTCCGGCCGTATAAATGTAAAAATGTAAACCAATATGTTAAATATATAAATTCATAACAAACAGGTGGTATGTATGCAAATGCCCCTAATAAACTGAGAATAAGATCAACTGTTAATCAATTACATATAATTATAACCAAAAGTTGTTCCAAGTTATCATGATACACAAAGTTTAGGGTTCATAAAATTTATCATAATCAAATTTGAATTAGAACATAATTCAATAAAGGAATATTTGCAAACATACCCCACAACTCCTATGTATTGACATATCTAACATCAAAACATCCATTTTTATACACATGCGACTTTACCTATACATGAAAAAGGTGTACTCCACATTTTTAAAGTAAAAATTGTGAAAGATTTGAAAGGTATAAATGTAAAAAGTAAAGCCTAGATGTTAAATATATAAATTCATAAGAATTAGGTGGTATGTATGCAAATGCTCCTAAGAAACTGATGAAAAAATCAACTATTATACCTAATTATAATCAAAATTTGCTCAAAAAAAGAACAAACAAGCAAGGAAAGTTTATTAAGGTACACAAAAATATTGAGATTTCCTAAGATCAACTGTAACAATTAGAGTACAATAATTAGAGGTTTCTACCAACTGCCATCAACAAATTAATTAAATTATACTTACAAATTTGACTTGGGAGGCAACATGAACAGTACCCTTCACCTTTCCCACAACCACCCTCCTTATCCCACTCCGCGGCATGGTATGGTAATGGATTTAAGTTGTATTTCACTTCAATATTACGAGACCGAAAATGGCAACTTTCACACTTTTCTCTTAAGTTCCGCATTTGCTAAATCGTGTTGTTGGCTGGATTTAGTAAATTCGGATTTACAGGATTTACTAGAACTGCTAAAACCTTTGCCATACAACCCCTTACTCTCTACTTTCTTTCGCATACCATTACCTTGACTTTGCAATGAATTGAACTTGACTTTCTCTTCGCCCCTCGAACCAACAGGCTTTTTCGATGAATGGTTCGATGTTTCGGTACCTCTGACTTTTTCTGTGGCGATCGAGATGGAAGGAGAGATGGGTTGTGTTTTGTCGTGTGTGAACTCACATGGCGGAGGTGTTTGTTGATTTGATGTTGAAGATGGCTGAGTTAGAGGAGTTGAGGACTTGCTCGGAGTGATTGGAGATTTAGATAGTGTGGTAGATGTCTGCATTCAGTTGTTTTTGATGGTGTAAGATTATTGAACAAATTTCCAAAAGTAGTTATTTACTGACAGATTATATTGTAAGAAAGTACTGTTTCAGGGTCCTTGAAATGCTTCACAATGAGAAGAAGAGTTTTCTAAATTTGATCATAAATACTTCGCTATTTTTTTTAAAGCGAAACATATTTGATATGACGTAACATGTTTAGTTATCTTTATGAATTAAAGAGACAATATTGTAGGTATTGGGTGAGGTCTATGCACAAAAACATAACAATTCATGAAATAATTTTTGTAATTTAACCAATAAACCTTAAATCACAATGGATATAGCTTAATCAATTCTCCATGACCGCCTTGTCTTCCACGATATTTTGTCTAATAATGATGCGAGAAACTATGCACTCTATAATTTGATAGTTGGGTTGAGAATGATTTGTTTTCCAGCTAATTTATGCCGGCTTGAAATTGTCTCGATCATGTATTTGGCTCAAAATTGTCTTATGGATCTGATTGATTTGATTGAATCAAGCCAAAAATGTACCATACACACAAATATATAAAAGTATCAAAATGATCGTGTGACTATTTAGATGAGGTCATTTTAGTCCCAGAATTTATAGAAGTGTTAAATAGTACCCAGACTATTTTAATAGTGGCTAAAATAGTGCTCACCGGGGACTTTTTTAACCCATATGCAAAAAGAACAGGCGGCCATTTTGACATTTTCTCCTAATACATATAAACAATTCAAATTTAGAGTTAAATTCAAGCCAACTCCTTTCAATCCAAGCCAATGTTGAAATCAGCTTCAACACTGGATCAAGAAAAAATTTTGTCCCATAGCTTAGCATGTTATAAGTTTGAACCGAGCGAAAAAGAAAAAAGAAAAAAAAAGAATCAATAATCCATTGACCTTTGATCTCCGAGCAAAAAATAGCCAAACTAAACGAAGGTCGTAACACGAAAATATACCTTTTTTACTTCAGAGAGTTTTGTAGTTTCAAGATAGAAAGATGGCATAGGAGTTGCTTTGAAGTTGAGGCTTTTGCGAAATTGTTTCATCTCTGCTTCTTTTATCTCCTGCAGATAAACCAATGGTGGCCATTGGTAAGCAACATAAATTTCATTTTTCAAACTAGAAAAAGGTCTGCATCATACAATTTCCTAGGAAAGAAAAAAAAGGGAAATTTACATACATACCACACAATTCTAATGTATTTACATATCTAACATCTAAAGTTTGATATTTATATTTAAAACACCTTGGGGTCATAAACCTATGCATCAATCGATGTATTTCACTTTTTAAAAAATAGTGAGCATGGTATTTTTGATGTGATATTAAAGATTTGAGTGAAAATATGTAAATAAATAAGAACTACGTGGTATGGAAGTATTTGCCCCAAGAAAAAAAAAAAAGAGCAGAAGTACCATAGTTCCTAGTAGCAACTCAAATAGGAGTCTATTGTACAAGTACAACTAGAATAAATTATAAAGCAAGACACCATAATCATCATCATCTAACAGAATGAAAAATTTTAGGGTTATTTACATGTCTAACACCATAATTTTGCTTTTCACATTTATACCACCCAAATCTTTCATATCACATCAAAAAAATTAATTTTATTTCTTTTAAAAAGTGACATACACCTTTTCATTCATAGAAAAAACTTTATATCTAGATCTATATATATATATATATATATATAAAGTCTATATATAAATCACTGTGTGTGTGTGTTAAATTTGTGACTAGAGTATAATTTTACAAATAGAACGAGAAGTATTTAAACCCAATTACAATAAAAAAGAAATAAAATAGAAAAACACAAATAAGAAATACATAATAAAGGAATAAAGAGTAATAGAAAAGAAATAATAAGTAAAAAAGGAAAGCCATAATAAGTAATAACAGCTAGAGATTTGATTGTTACAAATCTAATACTCCCCTCAAGTTAAAGTATAACAGTCATGTTCACCTCGAATTTGAATTCATTGAACAAGAAGATTCTTAATAAGAATATTCGCCAGTTGACCGTTGGAGGGCACACAAGTAACACAAATTTTCCCGGACTTAATCTTTTCCTTAATGAATTGTCAGTCAATCTCCACATATTTGGTACGATCATGCTGGATTGGATTGTGAGTAATGTTGATGAAAGTATCATTATTGCAAAAGTGTTGCAGCGGAATAGAGGTTGTTATATGAAGTTCACGAAGCATGATGCGTAACCAGAGGGCTTCACAGATCCCTGAGGACATGGACTACAATTCGACTTCAGCACTGCACCCGGAAACCATAAATTGGTTTTTGTTTTTTCATGTGACAAGATTTCCACATACAAATGAGCAATACCTCGAGGTGGAACGTTGATTACGAACCGACCCACCCCAATCAACATTTGTATAGACAACAATAAACCGAGAGGTGTGACGAGAGAAAAATGAGCCCGGTGTACCTTTTAAATAGTGGAGAATCTGGTGGACAGATTGGAGATAGTACTCAAACGGGTCATGCATGAACTGACTCATTGTACCAACTACGTGGTATATTTTAAAGTGAGTATGGGCGAGGTTGATGAGTTTCCTCACAAGCACCGGTAGTAAGTCTTGTTGACAGGCACAACATTGAGAATGCCAGATAATTTTTCATTGGGATCTATAAAGACAGCCACTGGTTTGCAAAGAAGATTGTTATTCTCTGAAAGAGATCAATCACATATTTGCGTTGGGATGGGCAAATGCTGTGAGATGATCGAGTCACTTCCATGCCTAAAAAGTACCAGAGAGATCACAAATTATTCATTTCAAATGATTTAACAAAAATGTCTTTCAAGGACTCCAATATTAATAGATCGTAAACAATAAGAATAGCTAACTGGCTATTAGAGGAATGCTGAAAGAAAAGAGTGTGATCAGATTGAGCCTAAGAAAAACCATGACACACAACCACCTTTATCAACTTGTCGAACCAGGATCTTAGGGACTGCTTTAGCCCATAAAGGAACTTGCACAGCCCGCGCACTTGTCCTTTTGGAAGCAGTAGAGTCAAAGTCGGAAGGGAGTGACATGTATACCTTTTCTGTAAGCTCTCCATTCAAGAATGCATTCTTGATATATAACTGAAACAAAGGCCAATCCAGATCCACCGCAAGGGAAATTAGGACCCGAATAATGTTTAACTTGGCCACTAGAGCAAATGTCTCCTCATAATCAACTCCATAGGCCTGTGTGTATCCTTTAGCAACCAACAAAAAACTTTTTTGCGATCAAATGATCCATCAGAGTTGAAATTGGTGTTGAAAATCCATTGGGGCCCACAACTTTTTTATCCTGAGGAAGATCAATGACGTCTCACTTATGGTTCCCTCGAAGAACATTCATCTCCTCCATTATTGTTGTATTCCAAGCCGGATCAGCAAAAGCAACCTCAATAGTAGCTAGGATTTGGTGGTCCATCGGGGCAGTAGCAAATGCTCTGTAGGTTGGTGATAAACTGCGGAAAGAGACATTTTGTCAAAGAGTAGAGGAAGCATACCTTAATTGGTGAACTCACCTCACCATGTGGAGGAGTTGTGCTGAGGATGTTGCCCGGAGTGGAGTCAAGACCTTGTAAGAAAGTAGTGGGTTCTAGAGTAGGAGCATTGCAACGGGTGTGCCGAGTGTAGAAATGGATAATGGGAGGAGGCGATGGTGCACCACCAAAGCGATTCCCGTAATAGCAGCGAGCGAAATGGGAGCAGTCTAAATCGTGAAAATGGGGTTGTGGGAGAGCAATACAAGCGTCATGCTACTAGGCGAAGCGATGGAGTGCTACACCCTAGATGGCGAGAGTCCAATAATCGAAAGCATCACTAGCTTACGCTCTGACCCGAGTAGCATGTGGAATCCCGTGTGAATCAGCAAGGACCACCTTGCAAGGCTAAATACTCCTGGGTGACCGATAGTGAAGAAATACCGTGAGGGAAAGGTGAAAAGAACCCCCATCGGGGAGTGAAATAGAACATGAAACCGTGAGCTCCCAAGCAGTGGGAGGAGAAGGTGATCTCTGCCCGCTGCCTGTTGAAGAATGAGCCGGCGACTCATAGGCACTGGCTTGGTTAAGGGAATCCACCGTAGTCGTAGCGAAAGTGAGTCTTCATAGGGCGATTGACACTGCTTATGGACCCGAACCTGGGTGATCTAACCATGACCAGGATGAAGCTTGGGTGAAACTAAGTGGAGGTCTGAACCGACTGATGTTGAAGAATCAACGGATGAGATACTAGAGATCTTTATTTGTTTATAAATTCTCTAGGTGGATGGGTAATACCAGAAATATCCACTTATGATAGTATGCAATTTGTGTTACCAGATGTACATACAATATGTATGGGATTAGCCGCTTCAATGGGATCTTTCATTCTGGTCGGAGGAGAAATTATCAAACGTGTAGCATTCCCTCATGCTTGGAGCCAATGAGTTTTATTTTTTTTTTTTTTTGAGAAAAAAAAATACTATGCCTTCGCTGTATCAAATATGAATAAGTAATAATAGCATGACACTTCGAGTTCGATATGAACAAACCAGAGGACTCATCAAATGGAGCACTCAGTGGAACAAGAGACTCCTTAGTGACAGTAACAATGGGGGAAACATCCATAGAAGTAGGAAAGGGACGCTGTCTAGGAATCCAAGCTCCCCCTCACTTGGGGTCGAGCTAGAAAAATAGGGAACTCTTTCAAAGAAAAAAGGAGACAGCAGCACTCACATAAATTTTGTTAATAGCTGAATTAAGACACTGATACCCCTTTTGAGTGGTGGGGTACCAAGAAAGACACATGTTATGGATTTGAGGTCAAGTTTACTCTGATTGGGAGCAATGTTCGTAACAAAGGCAGTGCACCCAAAAATCTTGAGATCTAACGTGGAGAAAACCCAATTAGTAGGAAAGCATGACATCAAGATGGCTAAGAGGGTTCAAAACCTATGAATTTTAGAATGGACTATTTATGAGATTAGTCGCAGTGAGAATGACATCGTTCCAAAACCAGTTCGGGACATTGGATTGAAACAAAATGGAGTAAGCAACGTCGAGAAAATGAAGGTTTTACTCTCGGCAACCCCATTTTGTTGAATGTTCGTACACGAGCTATGGTGGAGGATGTCCTTACCAATAATTTACCCAAAATAGAGTTAAGAAATTCACAGTCATTATTGGTCCGAAAGACTTGAATAGGGGTTTTAAATTGAATTAAAATGAATATGTAGATGTTTTGGAAGGTGACAACAACTTTGGATTTATCTATAAAATATAGACTCATGTCATCTGAATGTAGTCATCAATCAAAATTATGAACTATTGTTTATTTGTGTAGCTGGGAGTGTGAGAGGGTCCACATAGGTCACTATGAATAAGAGAGAAATTGGTGGAAAACACGTTAAGTGTAGGGCGGACAATTGACCAGATGATGTTTAACAAACTAGCATATCTCACAATTGAAACTAGAAATATTTTTATTAGAAAACATTAAAGAATATAATTTTTTTAAAATATTGAAAAATATAACAACTTAAATGTTAATGCAATAACATAATGAAACATTCAATGACTCGAGATAATTTACAACTCCTGAGAGGTGTGCTCTCACTCTCTGTGCTCTTCTCTTAGAAATAGTAGAGACCAGCCACTCTCCAATTCCAATCAGCCTCCCCGAACAACGATCTTGAAAAACAAAACCAACAAAAGAGAAATTAACAATACAAGCAATAACATTCACCAACTTGCTGACAAATAAAAAGTTATATTGTAACTGGCTAGATCCTAACTCCTACGAGAAAAACTAGACCTCATGAAAATTGAGGTCAACAATAACATGTAAAACAGACTCCAGAGTTAGATCGGTTATTAGTACGATCAATCCTTTATCAACAATGAAACTATCAGAGCCATTGATAATTCTGACGGTATTTTTTCCAGAGCACAAATAGTTAATCGGGAAAGATTGTCAGCATCCAGTCATGTGATCTGTGGCACCTGAATCAATAATCTACAAACTAGAAGAGGAATAAACTATGAGGGTCATAGAAAGTGTATCTTGTCGGAAGTGTGAGATCGATAGACTTGTATACTTGATTGGCTCCAAAAAGTATGATTAATTGCTCAATCTAGTTTTTACAGGGGTTTGGAGGATTTCGGGATGTTCAAGATAGGAGTCGGTTGAGTTGCGGTGTGCTCGAACGACACCGTGAGACCTTTGGTAGCAGAAGATTTGGTCGAAGGTTTATATGTCGACTTATCATAAAGTTTCCAACACTTTTCTCGAGTGTTGTTGGTTTGTTACAGTAACCGCAAGTGGAGTGAACAGTCCGAGATGGCATGGACGAGGACTGAGCACTTTTTGAGATCAAGCCGGAGGATTTGGCTGAAGGGATAGGAGTGTCGAGCATAACAAATCTACCGCTTTCTTCTTGACGAATCTCGGTGAAGGTTGTACGACCGAAAGAGGATCGCGACCAAGAATGCAGCCCCAGACTTCGTCAAGATCTTTGTTAAAACCGGCCAAAAATTGAAGCATGCGATCATTTACTACAATCTTCTGGAAGAGGGATAGATCGGCTGGAAAATCCCAAGTGTAGTCGTAGTATGGGTTGCATTCTATCCATAGCGCAACAGGGTCATTATAGTACTCTGTCACAGTCATTGAGCCATGTTTTACCTTCCAGAGTTTCTTAGATACCTCATAAAGTTGGCCGAAATTTCCTACATCTGAGTAGGCATCACAGACAAACGTCCAGAGTGCACTTCCTGAAGGGAGGAACATATATGAATGACCAATCGAAGTCTTCATGGAGTTGATCAACCACGACATGACTATGGAGTTCTCTACTTCCCAAGCTCCATATGACGGGTCAGTCTTTGGAGGCCATGAACCATACCTGTGAGGTAACCAAACTTCTCACGTCCTATGATGAACAAAGACACCGCTTGGGATGGTTGGAAAAAGTTATTGTCCTTCAGTTTATAGGTTGTGATCAAGAAGTTCATGTTGGCTTCTGATCTTCCGATTTGGGATTGAGGTAAGTGGCGATCCTCCGGTGGACTCATGCATAGCGTAAGTAGGAGGTTCGATGGTGGACGAATTCGTCGTACTTCCAACAGAGCCAATGATGATGTCAGGTTGTCGAGACAAAAGAAAGGCTGGCAATAGGGATGTCCAATGGCTGGAAAAATTTTGGAACAAAACAACCACAAAAACAAGCTGGAAATTAACGGCGGCTGAAATCAACATTGGCAACAACTTCACGACAAAACAATCGAACAGTGGTTAGAAGGAGCAGTAGATGTTGGGCTTAGCGGCAGAAAGGAGCCGAACAGAGAACTTGCGGCTGAGGAAAACGATAGATTCTGGAAGGTGGCTACCAGCAGGCTAGGGTGGAACCTCTAAGGTTAGAGTCATAACTTTGATACCATGTTATATTTGTGACTAAAGTAGCATAATTTTATTTATAGAATAAGGAGTATTTAAACTCAATTACAATGATGCACTAAAAGAAAAAAATTAAATAGAATAAAACAAATAGAAAATACATAATGAGGGAGGCTAATAGGAAAGAAATAATAATTTATGTAAATCTTCCAATATTTTATTAATAATTAGCCAACTTCTACAGTTAATAACATAGACCTGAAAGAAGATATGGTTTAATGGATATTTACATACCTAGCACACAATTCTTATGTATTTACATCTCACACCTAAACTTTCATATTTATACACATAACACTCGGGTGCTTTAAGCCTACACAAAAGAAAACGTATTTCACTTTTAAAAAGTGGCAATAGTGTTATTTTTAATGTGATATTAAGGATTTGAGTGCCATGCGGGTAAACATGAAAGTGTTGGTGTGATATATGTAATTACATAAGAATGGTTTGCCATGCATTTAAATGCCCCTCATTTAATTGCTTGAAATAAACAAACCTCAGTTCTGGCTTGAATCTCATTCATCTCAGCCACTTTAGTATGAAGCTTCTCCTCCAACTTCAAGTAATACTATACAACACAGATCATATACTAAAATCTAAGCTGCTCAATCAGATGAGTAAATATTCAAGCAGAATATTAATTAAAAGTAATCCAAATTCTTGCCTCTTTTCTTTTCTCAGCCCTTTCACTGCTTTTAAATTTAAAGGCAGCAGGACTTTGCTTATCTTCCGCCTTAGAGCTCGATTTAACCCTACAGCAGAAATAAATCAATGTAAAAAAAGCAACGGTACTAGAAATTTGAACAGATACATCAAACACCCAAACTTTACTTTTTACATTTATATGATGCAAATCTTTCATATTACATAAAAAATACATTCATGTTAAATTTTAAAAAGTGAAATACACATCTTATGCATGGATAAGATGCAAAAGATGGCATATATGTAAAAATTAAAGTTACGAGTTTAATATGTAAATACATATGAATCAAGTGTTATGCATGTAAATCCTCCTTAAATAAATCTTCAAAAGCAGTAATCTGAACTAATTAAAATAGAAGTAATAGTATAATGAGCTGCCTTCTTATGGCCCTTGTCATCTTCTTCATCATTATAATCATTATCATCATTAGCCTTATACAAAATGTTTGGGGTTAACTTTGTAAAATTTATCCATCCGCTCCTACTGGCAGTGCATAAAGAATTTAAACCTATTCTAAAAAAATATTTTTGCATAGTTTATATCCATATAACCTTAAGAATTAAATCTTCCCATTTTCTTTTCTAATCCTTTAATAATAATTTTATAAAGTTATCTTACGCACAAATTTTCTACCGTTTGTGGTACATGTCCACGCTACATAAATTTACTTCCTAGTATTTACACTCGATGGATACAACTCGTGCCATCAATCTAACATAAATTTCCCTTAGTTTATCCTTCATAGAATTGAAAGACAACCATTCTATAAATTTCTAATACAAACCAAATTGATTTTTTCACATAAATCTGTGCAAACGAATATTTTATGGCAAGAACATCAAACAACTTAACACAAATGCATAAGATAAGCACCTATAATTCGAGAGGTATGTGATCTCTCCCAAATGCTACGATTCGCGAGGGGGGAAATCTCTCGTAAGACTCAAGACAACAATCTTATGCATAACCCTAACCATAAACATATTAGTCCTATTTGTACTAAACAATAATAAATAACAAAAGACTAAATTACTCTTGTGCGCAGAAAAGACTAAATTGTCCATTGGTGCCGGCGTAATAATACTCTCATCCCAAAAAGACACATTGTCTTCAAGGTGTAAAAAACGAAAACTATTGTTGGATCAATTTGTGTGGCTCCCACTCATAAATTGGCTTGAGTTGGGTTCTTGCCATAAGCACTTGTACACTCGACGTGGCTTTCTTGAACTGCTCAAAAGTCTGGGTCGTCACTTTCCCCCACTGAAAGTTATCATTCTTCAATTTCTTCATCCACGACCATAAAATCAAATTACAACCCTTTAGGAACTTCTTGTACTATCCTGTAAGTATCATAAACATTCTCAATCCCTTCCAAGTCTTACATAGTGGCCCCTCCAACATAATCGCCACCTTTGATGGATTCGCTGATATCAAGAACTTGCAATCTTGTCTCCCTCCTAAATACTTTGTCGTGTCCAAATCAGTCATTTACACTCTCCCCTACTCTTCCCCACCTATCTTGTTCCCATCATTACTCTTTAAACATCTTCTAACCGGAAAGCCACAATAACAAAAGGCACTGACACAGTTGGATGCAACCTTTCGTCAGGCTCACACTCACCATGATTCCTTGTTCCAGTCTGACATCATTCGAATCGATATTCTCCAGCCCAGAATCACACATCGGCCCATTTCGTTTGTTATCGCTCATTCCAAAACCCCTGATGTCGCACAATTCCCTCTAGTTGATGCACTCCTTCATTGGATCCCACCTGCTTCCATTCGTTTTAGCCGTCTAGATGTGAACCCTCAGCAATCGCAATACAGTCGCGATTAGAGGAAAGGCAACAAAGCGCCTAGCTTGAATCTTCGTGACACAGTGGCGATTATCACTAAGCAGGGAGGACATAGAGGGATGACACACATGAGATGTGATCGCTGACGTGATCTAGACTTGAATCCTTGTGATTGAGGATGTCAGGAGACAAAAATAGTGTGAGAGGTAAGAAATTGAAACTTCCAGGGAAGATAGATCCTGAAGTTTTGAAGGCTTTGGTTTGGCTCAACGAAAGAGCTAGCGTCTCAACAGGAGCCACTGCCTTAGCACTTATTCCGACCCAAAAGAAACTAAATCTCCCTCCTGTGGATGTAAAACTTGATGGACTTGCCACATATCCGAACGGTCACTTTGAATCAAGGTTGCGCTAGTATAGAAGTGACAAGTGATATCTGACGGGGGTCGATCCAAAAAGTGACAGTGCTGAGGAGGATAAGTGAAGGACCACATACACCATAATCTACACCTAGCTACTCAACTCGAAGATCTCGTCAATTGCCTCTTTAGTAAAAGGCATTTGAAAGGTGAGAGACATATGGGCAAAGCTGAAAAGGATTTATGATGGGATTGAAAACTGCATGAGGGTGTTCCAGATTCAACAGGAGATAGAAGCATTGATACATAGTGATAGATTGATTAAGGAATACACCGTAGATCTGGAGCGGTTGTGGGAAGATCTTGATCACTTCTCATCGATGTCGAGTTGTGGCAATCATAAGTGCGAGAAATGAGAGATCTTTACACATATGAGGACTATGCAGTTCCTGGTCCATCTGAACCCGACCTCTGATCATAGGAGATCACCCTTCTAGCTCATTCGAGTATCCCTTCACTAGATGAGGACATTGTTGTGAGAGTCGACGAGCTACATTCTGAGTCGAGTAGACTACCGGGTGCGCGATCAGCTTTGACCGTCTCGAGCTCAGGTATGATATGCGTCCCGAGAGAGACTCGTAAGTATTACTACTGTGGTGAAGTTGGGCATCTAAGCAAGACCTGTCCTAGGTCACCTAACAAGAGAGAGACAGGTGGACATGGACAAGGTGGAGGACGTGGTCGTGGATAAGCTAGTAGAAAAGGTAGAAAATGGGGTGCCGGAAAAATCTAATTGTAGCAGAGGGAGAGAGGTTTTTACCAATTAAGATCGTGAGTGTCTAGAGTAGTTGAAGAGAAAGCTGAAAGCAGCAGGAGATGGGTATGAGGATGCTTCCAACCAGCCGTAATCAAAGATTAACATTGTCACTCATGTTCACTCTGACAAAGGTACTTATGATACACATGCTCTTGTCTCTATTTCCATCACAAGATCATCAAAAATGGATAGTAGATTATAATGCATCTCAACATATGCAAGTAATGCTAGAGATGTTTTTAGCTATAATTCCCACCCCCCAACAGTACCAGAGAGCATCCAAACCGTTTATGACACAACACAGTCTGTAGTTGGTAAGGGTACATTAAAGGTTATCAATTATATGACTTTCTCTAATGTTTTGTCTATTTCTTTTTTTCAGTGAACATTTATTTCATTAGTGTTATTATTCTTCAACTAAAATGTAATGTTTCTTTTGATATTCCTAAGGTGATCTTTTAAGGGAAGGGACCGGTCGAACAATTGTGACTGGAACGTGACATAGCGTACTCCGGTACTTGGACCAGAGGGAATGAACTCTACTTTAAAATCCATGGTAAAGAGTGTTAGAGTAAAAGAATTTAGGAGTGTGGAGGATGTGTTGCTGCTACATCGCAGGTGCATAGGAGACTCTTGTTTTAATTTATTGACTCGATTGTATCCTACTTTGTATGAAAAGGCAAATAAACAAAATATGGTTCGTGATGCTTTTGAGTTTGGTAAGTTTACTATGAACTCTTATATCAGTTTTAGGAATATGAGTTCTGGTATTTTTTTACTTGATACATTCTGATGTTTATGAACTTTTCTCTACAAGTTCTATGAAAGATTATCGATATTTTGTGATCTGTAGTTATTGTTTTTCTCGTGTTACATGGTTATATCTGATGAAAAATAAAGATGATGTGTTTGTTTGCTTTAAAAACATCCACAATGCAATCCAGGCTCAATATAGTGTAGTAGTGAAGGTATTAAGATGTGATAATATAACAAAATATACCAACAAAGCATTTGGGGAATACTTATCAGCCCAAAGAATATAACATCAAACCACAAGCATATACACACTGACACAAAATAGAGTAACGGAAAAGATGAATAGACACGTTCTAGAAAAGTTTTAAAAATTGCTCAAATAATCAACAGGATGCCCCCGAGGGTGTTGGATTGAAAGTTTTCTAATCAAATGTTGAAAGAAGATAATAGTGGAATCCTCTCATTGAAGGTGCTCGGAAGTGCATATTTTGTTAAGGATAATATATCATCAGTAGAGAAGCTGGATCCCAGAGCTATGAAATGCAATTCATTGATTATTTTGCTATTCATAAGGGGTACGTCTGCTGAAGCCGAATAGAGAAGAAACTGTTTATGAGCATGGATGTGTCATTAAAGAATTTGAACCATAGTACTCTCGAAAGAAGACCTCACCCTTCAGTGACTCAATAAAAATGAGGCAAGAGGGCTGAGTAGCAATGGTGAGACGGTGGTGCACGTGGGAGCAATTCTTATCCTGTAATGTGGAATGAATCAGTTGAGGAACTGGAAAATGAGAAAAGTGAACCCAAAGGTAGTGAGATTTAGGCTGAATGTGAGATAAGGGTGTATACACGGAGAATGAAGCAAAATATGATGGAACGGTGCCTGTAATGCCACTTGTACCAGCTAGTTCCATGTCTCGATCTTCTCCGACTCTTGAGACACTTACACCATCCACCTCTGACTTAGAACTCTCGGGTGATATGATTCCTCCTCCTCCTAACCCTTCAACTTTGAGGAGGAACTCTCATAACAATGTGGGACATTCTCCCGATTGTTTTGGGTGAGAACATGACATTACTAACTTTGTTTCATATTCTATTGCTTTTACAAGGAGCATTCATTGCATCTTTAGACATTGTATCTATACACAGGTGTTGGCAGGTTGCAAAGAAGAATCCCAAGTGGAAAACGGCTATACAGGAAGAGCTTAGGGCTCTCGATAAAAAGCAAACATTGTAGATAGTGCAACTACCGGCAGGTAAAAAGGTAGTTGGGTGTAATTGAATCTTCACAGTAAAGCAAACTCTATAAGGGAAGGTGGAGCGTTACAAAACACGACTGGTGGCGAAAGGGTATAGTCATATATATGGCATTCTATGATGAAACATTTACACCAGTAGCAAATATGAACACAACGAAGACACTGATTTCTCTAGCAGTGAATAGTGGGTGGAGATTACACCACCTTGATGTGAAAAATGCATTTCTTCGTAGTGAGTTACTAAGGAAGGTATATATGGAGATATCATCAAAATTCATAACAATCTAGATAGTAAACAAGGTGTGTAGGCTCGATTAGTCACTGTATGGCTTGAAATAGTCTCCTCGAGCCTTGTTTGATAAGTTTAGAAAAGTTACGGTGGGCATAAGATATCGACAGATCAATACAAATCATATGTTGTTCTTTCGACACATAAAGGTCACACAAGTATACTTTTGTATATGTCGAAAACAATATTATCATCGGTGATGACGAAGCAGAGATTGCCCAATAAAATATAAGATTTGGCAATGAATTTGAGGTGAAAGATCTTGGAAAGCTCATATATTTTCTTGGGATTGAAGTGACCCGTGAATCTAAGAGGATGGTCTTATCCCAGAGAAAATATGTACTAGATCTCGTCATGAAAGCAGGCATGTACAACCTCTCCAATTTACCAAAAGGCCAAGATGAGTGCAGGCAAAAGAACCATCGTGCGAGGTATCAGAAATTGGTGGGCCATCTAACTTACCTGTGTCACACTCGACCCAACATATTTTTTGTAGTAAGTGTGGTGTGTCGCTACATACAAGATCCAAGGAAAGGCCATGTAGATGCCGTGTATTATATTTTGAGGTATCTGAAAAGTGCACCAAAGAAAGGGTTGATCTTCAAAATAAATGAGCATGTAGACATTGAGGGCTTTTGTGATACTGACAATGCGAGATGTGCAGATGATGGAAGATCCACCTCATGATACTGCATGTTTGTAGGTGCCAACTTGGTCTCTTGGAAGAACAAGAAATAGTCTGTAGTAGCAAGGTCAATAACAGAGGCGGAGTATAAGGTCATCGCCTTAGGAGTTGTCGAGGTGATGTGGCTGAGAGCCTTGTTGGTCGAGCTCAAGGTGGACCAAAAACTCAAATGAAGTTGTGGTTCAACAAGTCCGCAAGCAGCATTGCCAACAATCTCGTGCAACACAATTGAACCAAATATATGGATATTAATAGATTCTTCATCAAGGAGAAGCTAAATAACAGGCTATTGGAGCTAAGTCACGTAGCCACTGAAGAGCCAGTGGCCGACTGCCTCACTAAATGTTTTAGTTCATTAAATTTGTCTAGATCATGTGACAAGATGGGTTTAGTGGATATCTATTTCCCATCTTGAGGGAGAGTTTTGTGAATTGGACCTTATTTAGGGTCCTAGAGGTAAAAAGGCAAATATTGAAGAAATCTAGGGGTTTATTTGTAAAATAATGTAATACCCTATTTTAAACCAATGTTATGAATGTGCAATGCAGGTTTTATTTTAACAATTCCTTCTTTTTAGAATAATTAATGGTGATTAAAGAAAACACTAAACCACACAAAATAAAGTAATTCTGTCCAGCAACCTGTTTACAGGATGGGGCACATCACTTCCTCTTCTTTCAACTAGATGGGGCATAACTTCAGCCTTCTTTGCTTTTACGCTTTCCACACTGTAAAGTGTACATAATGTTTGAGAAAAAATTAGCACCAAAAAAGTCGGATTAATCAAGTAATTTGCATTTGTAAGCCTGAAAAGACTGTAGAAGGTACCTTTTAATCTCTGAACTAGTTTTAGTTTTCATATTTCTAGAAGCCTGCAAAACAACCAAAAAAGTTTAAATAACTCATTAGACTGTTTAAAAATATTTTGAGCTTAGTGCCGACTCTAGTTTAGTGACAAAAGAAAGGGGCATTAACATACACGGCACACAGTTCTTATGTATTTACTTTCTCACGCCTAAACTTTCCTATTTACACACATAGCACTCAAATCTTCAACAATCACATGAAAAAATAACACTATTATCACTTTTTTTTAAAGTGAAATACACATTTTAATTTATAGGTTTAAAGCACCAAAGTGCTATGCATGTAAAAATGGAAGTTTAGGTACGATATATAAATACATAAGAATTCTGTGATGTAAATTTCCCAAAAAGAAATAATCATATCACAAATATTTATGTTTTAGCTGTGATTAACATGATATCAACATTCCCATTTTACAAAATTGCATATAATCACTTGAACTCTTAAAATTTTTAAGCCTTCGTGATAATACAAATGTCAGATGCCCCTCGGAACATAATGATGAGAAACACGAATATGGATAAACCTTTCTTACCATTGTTTTGAAATTCCCATTTTCTGCAGACGTAGGAAATGGAACTTTTGAAGGTACTGATTTTTCCAGTTTTATTGGTATATTTTGCTTGTCAGCTTTCTTAATCTTTCCGCATGAAATAGAATTTCCGTTCTTCGAAGCTTTCTTTGGCATCTGCTGTTTAGACAAATGCGCCTTAAATTGCGACTTTCCAGCTTTCGCATCAACTGTAGCACTACTCTGAACGACAAAAAAAGAAGAATAACTAATAAGATAATAGTTATCAGTAAATCAAACAGAGCTTCAGCGGCTAGCTCCAGAATGTGCAATAAAATTTGAATCATCCGAAATACATTAGAGGAGTCTATTAAGTACAGAAAGAACAAAAAATTTAGTGGCATTTACATACATACCACTCAATTGCACTAATATATCTAACACCTATACTTCACTTTTTACATTTATAACAGCCAAATCATTTTTAAAACAACAAAAATACCACTATTTTTAACTTCAAAAAAGTTAAATACATCTTTTGATGCATGGGTAAAGTGGCATATATGCAAAAATTGAAGTTTAGGTGTTAGATATGTAAATTCATAAGAATTAAGTGGTATCTATGTAAATCTTCCAAAGATTTATCATGAGCAATCCCTCTCACTTCGAATACTATCAAACTCCACAAATTGACTTGATATAGGTGTTAATCCAAACCAAAATAAAACAACAAAATTATTACTTGAAGCAAATAAACGATTACAACTAACACACTTGAACGGAGTAATACAATAATAAGACACAAACAAACACCACTAAAGTGTATCCCAAGGTTGTGGAGGTTAGCTAAGTGGATCGGAATGACTAACGGGATTGGCGGCAGCAAGAGAATACTAGTGGCACTAATGTGGAGGTGCGAAAATGTAGGGACATCAAGTATGGTTGCTGCCTGGATGGTGGATGAGGAGTTGGTTGGATAGCGGCGGGACAACAGGAAGGAGGTGTTCCCAGGCTGTCCTGCACGGCGGCGACGCCGTGGGTGGGCTGGAACAGTAGGAAGGAGGTGTACTAAGACCTCACTAAAAATGAGGTCAACAGTGGGCTGGAACAGTAGGAAGGAGGTGTGGTTTGGGCAGCAGCAATGCTGGAAAGGAGGGAGAGGCAGTTGGTAGGCTGAAGGCTGCAAAAAATAGCAATCCGAGTGTTGCTACGATGGCTGCAGCAAGGTATGGCGGCAATGAGTGATGTGGAAGGGTGCAAAAGAAAATAGGAGAAAGATACAGCTGGAGCACCACCCAATCATTCGGATACAACTCCCGAAGGTGAAAATGGAGGTCGACAACTGACCTGACAAAAATCTAAAATCTGTAAGTAATCAAAAGCTAACCCTAAAATAGCAAAACAACAAATGTATACAAGCTAGGAGATAAAATAGGAAGGGGAGGCTTCCCCTTAAGGCGGAAACCAGAAAAGGAAGAGCGAAAAACTACACAACCAGACAGGCAAAGGTGGAAAGGCGCGGTAGCTCTCGCTCGTAAGAAGATTGGTCGGTCCAATAGGGGACTAGACCAAGAACTATTCTGGTCAGTTTAGTCGGTCATCCCGCCAGTTGGTTCCGCTGCTCTCCAAACCCTGCGTCCCACCTCCAAAGCTCTGGGTCATGACTTTTGAAGGATGAGGACAATACAATCATTTTCAACAAATGAGTCATGATTTGATGTTTGATTGTTCTAAGCCATTCGCAAAGAATGACACTACTTAATTTCTATAAACTGAGACTAAAATTACCCCTGACAAAGAGTCAAGTGACCATTTTGACATTTTTCTTAATAAAAAATGAATATGGGTAAGCAAAGCAATTTTGATATCAAGACTAGATTTGCAACATGGAGTGAACTTTGAATTTAGCAAACAAAGTTATAAGAAGAAAATAAATGTTTTATAATTTGAACAAGCTAAGCAACCTAAAGAGAGGAAAAAGCCAAATATATAGAAGGAGATTATTGGATATTGAATACCAAGTTGTTGGACTTGTGCAGGCTAAAATTCTAAAAATTTAACTTCGATCCAAAATTTTTGGCTCTTTTCCAATTTTTGTATGTTTGATTACAATGGTTTCCGAAATTCTGCAAGAAAGATTTGGCTGAGGAAAGACTTCCACTTTTTTTGGTCTTTTGTAATATTTTTGCAATAAAATGCCCATATTCAAGTATGTGGCTTGGCTTTCTCTGTCTGGTTTTATTCTCTATTTTTATTCTAATTAAAAATTGCATGAAAGTTGATTAATTTGCTTTAGTTCTATTGCAGATTTAAATAATAATATTTTAAGTGATTTTAAATTATTTTTAGATTTTGCAAGATCTGAAATCTATTGCAGTTAACATCTCATGATATATTCTTCTATTGTTCATATTTGGCATTTGATGATCTACAAAATATTTGTAAAAGATAAATAACTGTTTGTATTGGACACCTCATTATATGTTTAATGTGAATATGTTCTCCTTAGATAGATGCACTTTCAAAATGAAGAAGGTATAGCAGTGAGATAAAGCTAAAATTGCTAAGTGAAGAAGGATATTGATAATTTCAGTGAAGTAAATTATGAATGAGGATATTCTAAATGTTGTTACTACTTAAAACAGCACTACTAATGCTCCGCATATTGACAACGTGTTTATGAGAAAGAGTAATTATAAGTGGCGATTTGAATAAATATATAGATTATAGTACAATGAGCTCTCATATAATTCATGGGCACAAAATAGGAAATGGGTGGTGAATAAAATAATATTGGGAGGTAATTATGTATATATGCCTTAAAAGACAAACATCAAAGACATAAGCGTCTTAAGAGAACATTGTTGAGCTTAAAAAGTGATAAGTAACTAACTTCTTAAAATAAGTTGTGAAGAGGTGGAATTTGAAACATTAAATTTGAACAGCACTAGCTATGGAGAGAACCACTAGTATATTTCAAGAAATAGGAATTTCAATTTTAATATTTCACATGACACTTGGCATGAATGAATGGAGCATTCAGAACACTAAGCGAAAAAAGCATTATAATAATTGTTAATTGAGATTAGCATGAATAAAAACACTAAATGAAATTCATTCCTGAATTTGCCAAAAAAATGCTCTGTGAGTCCAATCTATTAAATGAACAAAAAACCAATAAAATACATCAATATACAGAGTTTGGATGCTTCTTATGAAACCGCACGTAAAAGAGTAGGCAAATTAATTTCAAAACATTGAGCCATAAAATAGATGTTTGAGAAACTCGGTTTAGATTTCAGATCAAAATGTAAAATAATTAAAAAAAATACAACTAGCAATGAATATAATTCACATCCATTAATTACCTTCGTTGAAACCTTTTGACTTTTCATTTTGACGGCCTCATTGTTTTTCTTGGTCTCGATGATATTTAAGGAAACATCTCCATTTTCAGCCAAATTTTCAATATTTCCACTATCATCCACGGCCTTATCTTCCACAATCTCAAAAGAACCACCTTCATCTAATTTCACAACATTAAAAGCTGAATGTTCATTAAATGGCTCAGCGTATTCTTCACTGTTCAAAGACGAAAATCCCATATTTAATTCTGCTGATGACATTTCCTCTTTTTGAAGTTCAAATATTTCACTATCATCTAAGACTGAGGGAGCATTTTTATCATCCCGAGAAACTTCAACCAATTCTTCGTTACCACGAAAAACGAAATCTTTGATAATACCATCGTTATGAACAACAATGCTTTCAACATGTTTAGATTCATTTCCCTTCTCATTCTCTTCAGAAACCTGATGAAGAAGTGCCTTTTTCTTGAAATGAGCTTCAAAGTATTCTTTCTTTCTGGTAACAGAACCTGGCGTGGAGTATTTTTCGACTTCTTCGAGATATCGGTTATGAGAGAATGTCGACCTTTTTTCCCAAGACAAAGATCCAAGATCAAATCTTCCAAATGATATGGAACCGCTTGGTAAACTGCCAGACTGCCAAAGATCAAACGGGCCAAGAAACAATATTCCATGAGAGGAGAAACCAGAAGAAGCACAACATTAATGCAGAAAAAATTGACCTTTTGATGTCTATAGGTAATAGCCTAGAATCATAAACAACAGAGAAATTTACATACCTATTAAACAATTTCATTACTTTTTTACATATCTCACACGTAAACATTCATATTTACACATAGCACTCAAAATCTTTTCTATCACATCAAAAATAACACTGAAGGCACTTTTTAAAACTGAAATACACCTTTTCATGTATAGGTTTAAGGTACTGAGGTGCTATGCATGTAAATGCCCCTAAATAAAAACAGCACAAAGGGGCGCAGAGCATGGCATGATAAAAGAATATGTAACTATATAGTAGTGCATTCTTACTAAGTAATGTATTACATGGTTTGAAATTAAAATTGCAAATAGATTAAGTTCATGAAAAGGGTAACTGCTACAGGTGGGTTTCACTAAAAAAAAACGCTACAAATTAGTACACGTTTTATCAGAAAGGAACCTTATTTATAAACTCCATCTAAATAGCTAACTATATGAACAGAATTTGACCATATTCAGGGTTGATGCTCTTAGGTATGAATTTTATTCCAGAATTTTACTCATAACAATACAAGACTCGAAGAGTTACTTAATAGGAAGTATACAAAATCAGAAACTAAAATTTAGCTATACAATTAATTACGATAAAATAGCCCACGCGGTTAGTGAGGTGGCATCCATGAGCACATTGCGAGGTATTAATAATATATGTTGATACTTCCATCACAAGAAGTAGAAGAAATGAAGAACTTTTATAAGTATGATATTAAGAATGATCGATAAGAGGTAAAACACCATAAGAAAGCGGTTGCCAACAAGTGGTCTCAGAATACTTAAGGCCAACAAGATCTATTTTGGTTGAGCTTCAATTTTTCATTCATTAAGGAGGATGAAATATAAGTTAATGCTTTGTGAAAAAGATTAAAAAATTCATTCTAAAAGCTTTTTTTTTCGAAGTATTTTTCTAAGAAAATAAGTTGGCCTTTTATGCCCAAACGACGTGCACCAGCTTTGAGACGACTTTTTAAAGCCATAAAACATATAAAAAGGGCATAAACACTAATGGGAAGTTTGATTAACACTGAGCTAATGAAAACCCTACCTTAAAAGGGCTAGGTAAACCATTACAAATAGGGAACAATTAATAACATATAATTAACCTAAAATTAATAATTAATTATTTATTTAGATTAATTAAGAGATAATAAAAATTTTATCAAGATAATTCTTTCATTGCTATTAAGTTATGATAATTATTAATATAGCAACAACAATAACAACAAGTCTTTATCCCACTAAGTGGGGTCGACTAGTCATTTTTATCAAATGTGTCCTATGGAGTGACATATTTTCATTTAATTCTAATAAATATTATAATAAATGTTATATTATAAATATTTTCATTTTATCATATTACCTTAATAAAATATCCATATAGTGCGTCATTTACAGGGAACGTCCTAGATTGACACAATGATTTTTATTAACTTAATAAAAATAAAAAATATGACACTTGATTGTACATAATAAAAAAACTTAGTATGATTAATATAATGTTTTATAAAGATAATTATGATACTTAAGCATTAAATAGCTTAATTACTCATAATTAAATAAACTATGATTAATAAGATATTTTATTAAGATAATTCTATTGTATTTAAAAATTTATACTACTTTTAATTAGTTAAGGTTTAAATAATATTACTTAATGATAATTCATGTTTCATTGTAATTTTGATACAGGTTATGTTAAACAAATGAATTTATTTAAAAAATGCTACAAAACAAATAGATCCTATGTGAAATGTATTAGCTTCGACTCAAGCCCCAATCAAATAGATCTTATGTGAAATGCTGGGAAACGGGCAAAAACTATAGAAACTTATAAGAGAAAAAGGATCAGAGCACAAAAACGCTCAATAATGTTATACAGTTTAACTCAATTAACGGCTATATTTTGTTGTCAGTGCAGATTTCACTATTGATTGTGGAGAAAGATAACCCCCCTCTCTTTTTATAAGGTCCACCACTAGCCTTGTCAAATGTGTTTTCTTCAAGGGTATTTTTTTATGTGAAGTTAAGGATTTGAGTGGTATACATATAAATATGAATGCTTGGATGTTAGATATATAAATAAAGAAAAATTGTGTAGTATGAATGTAAATGTGCCCCTTAATATATGAACGAAGATCCCGTAATAAAAAACCGAAAACAAAATTACATGCATATGGATTTACATATGTGACACCCAAATTTTGATATTTACACTTACAGCACATTGATGTCATAAACATATGCATCAATTTGTATATTAAAATCAGTAAAACAATAGCGCAGGAAGAGTAAAACCTGATGAGCAATGCACTCTTCAACTTCTCCTGCCATGATTCTCCAGACCGAAAAATCTATGAAAGTAGAACACCTGTAAATATCAAAATAGTTAATATTCCGGAATGAAAGAAACTCTTCTTCCTCCCCAAATTTCCTCTCCAGAAAGCAGCACCATATCACTACAAATTACAACAATGGTCTCCTTTAAATAATCAGATGCCAATTTGTTGGTCAACAAAGCATGCTCTATCAAACCTCTAGCTATCAATTTTGTCAAAACGGTTTCTTATCGCGATGAATGAGTATGAAATCGAAGCTCAAGCCGACGTAGAACTCAGTACATACAGTCCAATTACAGAATAACGACTTCCTACAAAACAAGAGAAAGAAATCGATACCCCGCCGAGTCTCCTTCCTTACGAAGGGGTTCGAAACCCTAACTCAAGAAGGAACCTCAGATTCACCATTTCAATGGAATCTTCTCCCACTCCGAACCAAATAACACGAAACAGAGCTCGATCGGAAGTGCTCCACTTGATCTTTGCAGCAAACTACTTAGTGGATCTTATTTTCACTGAAATCATAGTAGCTAAAACCAATGAAGAAGAGAGTACCGTCGTCTCACGAGATTGAGCTTCCGAAACCCGTGCCTTCTCTCTCTATACAGTGTCCGTCTTCTTTGTCTTCATCTAGTCAGTTGAATCACTTCCTTTTAACCTATTATTATAATATTAGGAAATTTACATAGTTTGCACATAGTTTTATGTATTTACATTTCTTAGACTTACATTTTTAAACTTACTTTCTTGTGCTTTAAAACTATGCATAATAATGACTTTCTATTTTTAAAAATGAAAACAATGCACTTTTCATGTGATATTAAGGATTTGGGTGTTATGTATGTAAATATGAATGTTTATGTGTGAGATATGTAAATAAATAAAAATTATGTGCCACGTATGTAAAAGCCACTATAATGCTTTAATTTTTGTTGCAACTATTAATTCACGTATGTAAAAGCCACTATAATGCTTTAATTTTTGTTGCAACTATTAATTAAGTAATAGGAAGATTTATGTATAGTATACTTCATTATTATATACTTATTTATCTATATATGGAAAAGTGTATTTCACGTTTTAGAAGTTACGATAATTATATTATTTATGTGATACTTAAGATTTGAGTGTTATAAATATAAAAATTTAAATTTAAATGCCAAATATATAAATATTTAAGAATTGTGTGGGCATGTATGTGATTGGCTCATAATTATTTTATAAATTTTCTTAAATATTTTAGCAAAAAATGACAAATTTTATGGTTTATAATTTAATTATGGATTTGCACTTTTATTTTTTTAATTAATTATTTGCGTCATTTTTTTAATAATTGATTTATTGTTATTTCAATCTTAATTGTTTATTGATCTCCTAATTTTTGTATTTTTTTTTTATAAATTTTGAATCTTTTTTTATTTTGTTAACAAATCTTTTATATTTCTATTAAAAACATTTAATTCTATTTTTATAATCTTATTTTTAAACTTAAATAATAGATATTTTTACTATTTTTATATAATCTTTAATTTTTAAACTTTAAACATGTGTAATTTTATAAAATATATTTTTCCCAACAAATTTTTACGATATTATTTTTACTATATAATTCTTCAATGGTTCCTACTTATCTTAATTATTTAGTCTTAATTTTGAAGTTATATCCCATTTATTTTGAATTTTTTATACTATTAACCATAATACATGAATTTATTATATTTCAAGTTTATGTTATCTAAGAATATTAATCATTAATTAATGACATCCTAATCATAAAATAACATACCATACATTCATATTTTAGTCACTATTTTATATTAGGAAATCATTAAGAAAATAAAAGCCTTGCAATTTTGAGTGAGGAAGGTTGGCCACAAAATTTGCTACTTGTAAGATAGGTCCACTCAAACAAGAAAATATTACATTCATTGTTTGGACATTGGGCAACAATATGGATCGCACCACACTGTAAACCACACGTCCAGTTTATCACACGTAATTTTTCTCGACTCAATCATGTGGTTATCAAAGGCTAGCCAACCATTTGGCAATGAAATTTTAAGAGAAGTCTTTGATTAATGATTGGTGTAGAATGTGTTTTTTATTTTTTATTTTTTATTTTTTATTTTTATTTTTTTGCAGTTGCTTGTTTGGACGTAGGTACATGTAGAATCTTTGTTGTCAATGCTCAATCATTGTGTTTTGACCATAACCACGCGACCATCATGGTATATCCAGCATTGTTTTATCATCATAATCTAGCTGTCATAACTCGATTATTATTATTCAATAATTATCATTTAAGAAGACATACTTTGATCGCCTTGATTTAATCATTATCATCTGACCACCATCATCTGTCCATTATTACTCGATAATAACTGTCTAATCATTGTTGTCATGCTAACACCTTATGATTATCTTCACCATCCCTCTATTATATTTAGCTCTACTAAAATTATAGAAAATTAGGGTTAAGTGCATTATTTATAAAAAAAATATTTTCTTATTGACTAAAAGGCATTTAACTCTCAAGTTTGTTGTTGTTGCGAGATGTATATATACCAGTTGATGTAGTATATATATAAATCACACAGAAAAATGATCGAAGAAGTGAAAAATAGAATGAGAAAAATTCACACCAGAAAAGAAAACACAGATTTATGTGGTTCGGCAAATTGTCTACGTCCAAGGAGTTGTGGAGGATTTTACTACTTGAGAAAATTTACACCAGTCGATCACCTCGACTTACAAGAGGAATCTCTCACTTTCACTTCGTTGTTCTCTGTTCTTCTCTCTCTACACCGAGATGCACCGAAGAAACTCTACACCGAGATACACTGAAAAAGACAAACTTACAAGAGAAATAAACTCAATTTCTCTTCTGTCGCAAGCCACCAAGAAGAAGCTTAAGGAGAACAATCTTCTTTTTCTTCCTTCTTCTTCCTTCTGCCGCAAGGAACTACTCCTCCTTGCACTTCTCTTCTTCTGCCCCGAGGAAACCTTCCTCTATCCCGAGGAAACCGAAGAAGAACTCAAAGCGTGACTACAAAACCCAAGGAGAGTCATTCAAAGCTTTTTATCACGAACAGGAGGGAGCAAAGAGATGCTTCACTTCACAAAAGAGGAAGGCGAGAGTGATTATTTTGTGAATTGTGAAGAATGAAGAAGTGTGACTCTCCAAAGCAAAGTAACTGCCCAAGCATAGTGGACCGGGCTCCACTATTTCTAACAATTCTCTCACTTGAAGACAGGTACACGGGCTGCAACATCTCCTTCCTCAAGCTGATATTCTCCACTAGCGGTGTCGCCTTTTTCTTTAACATGTATCCTCCACCTTGAATCCTCCACCTCTGTAACTCAAAACCTATGTATTTACTCCAAAAGACTAACTGAAGCTATGCACAACTTCAGTTTCTTAAGAGTAACACCCTCAGTTAACACATCATCAGGCTCCACATAGCTTTGCACCTCCAAGTTATTTTCTGGGTCACTCTTGTCTCTTCTTACAACTCCCACTGTATGGGCAACAATCTGCATCTGCTGAAAGCATTTTTCAACAAGTCTAGCCTTGTACCTCTTACTGACATCACGCTCAGTCTTCACCTGATATACTCACTTGTTGTGCAATGTCTTCTTCCCATGTGGAAGTTATGTCAGCTCCCACTTGCTTGAACTTTCATCTTGGAAAATTTCTTCATAGCTCTGTGGTTCTTCAACATCTGTCTGTGGAACAATAAGAATGGGTGCCCCAGATCTACTTTCCTCTTCATTTCCATCACTGCGGCCCCTGGTAGATTTTTTATCACATTCAAAGCCCATTAATCCAATATCAAGTCTTCAACAAAACTATAAACTGCCAACAATAGTGCATCATGTGATTCTTCAGATACCACATTTGCGCTATCATTCTCCATCTTCTTAGGATTCCTGCAGTTCTTCTTTATGCGGTCAGCATTGCCACAATTCCAATAGGTTGTCTGCTTACTAAACTTTGATTTTGATCTCCCAATACTTGAGTTATTGTCATGTCATCTCCCACTGAAATCAACATTCAGTGCCGAAATCGAACCTGAGACATCGCCAGAATCATTTTTGCGAACTTCCTCAACCAAAATCAAATCACGAATATTAACGTATTTCAATTTAGATTTACCTGTAGAACTGCTAAATGGTATCCTCATGACTTCCCAACTATCTGACAATGAAACAACAAGATTAGTGCATATTTCTCATCATCAAAATCAATTTTCACAAACGATAATTGATTTGTGATAGTATTAAAAATATTCAAGTGTTAAGCAACATAAACACATTCCGTCATCTTCAAATTGAATAACTTCTTCATTAAATGCACATTGTTATTCGCCGATGATTTTTCATACATATCTGATAAGCCTGTCATGAGATCTGCAGTCGTCCTTTTCTTGACGACAATGTGTGCAACAGACCTCGATAGGGTCAATCAAAAAACCCCAAAACTTGTCTTTCCAACAAATTTCATTCAGTTTCATCCATCATTTCAGGTCTTTTCCTCAATAACGGAAGATGAAGTTTCTTCCCATAAAAATAATCCTCTATCTGCATCTCCAATAACCAAAATCTGTGTCATCAAAATTCTCGATCTCTGAACCCTTCACTTCACCTTCATCTGCAGTCATTATTCTTCCTCAGATCCGAAACCACGCTTTGATACCAGTTGTTGTTGCGAGATCTAGATGTACCAGTTGATGTGGTATATATATATATATATATATCACACAGGAGAATGATCGACAAAGTGAAAAATAGAATGAGAAAAATTCATACCAGAAAAGAAAACACAGATTTAAGTGGTTCGGCAAATTGCCTGCGTCCACGGAGTTGCAGAGGATTTTACTACTAAGAAATTTACACCAGTGTATCACCTCAACTTACAAGAGGAATCTCTCACTCTCACTTCGTTGCTCTATCTTCTTCTCTCTCTGTTCTTCCCTTTCTACACCGACATGCACCGAAGAAACTCTACACCGAGATACACCGAAGAAAACAAACTTACAAGAGAAATAAACCTAATTTCTCTTTTATCACAAACCACCAAGAAGAAGCTTAGGGAAAACAATCTTCTTCTTCTTCCTTCTTCGTCCTTCTTCTTCCTTCTTCTTCCTGCTCCTCCTTGCACTTCTCTTCCTCTGCCCCGAGGAAACATTCCGGAGGAAACCAAGAATAACTCAAAACGGACTACAAAACCCAAGGAGAGTCATCCAAAGCTTTTATCACGAACAGAAGAGAGCGAAGAGATGCTTTACTTCACAAAAGATGAAGGCGGGAGTGGTTATTTATGAAGAGGTGTGACTCTCCAAAGCAAAGTAACCGCCCAAGCATAGTGATCGGGCTCCAGTGTTTCTAACAAAGTTAACAATGTTAAAAAAAATTTAAAAAAAATAAAAAAACAAAAAAAAAAAATATTGCTTGAATGGGGAGGATTTTTCTATCTTATGATGCATATAGGGCTATTAAAAAAACTCGTTGTTTGTAAAAAGCTCGTGTTTGGCTCGTTCATTAAGTAAACATGCAAAACACGAACAACTCGTTATTCGCTTATTCAGTCCGGGTTCGAATCCAACACTTCATTTATTTTTTTCAATTAATTTTATTGAGTCAATTTCAAGTCAGACACGAACAAGAATGTTTAAATAAAGCCGAACACAAATACACTGTTCACGAGCCAATTTCAAACACGAGCTGGTTTCAAACTCGAGTAATTTTGAATAAGTCGAACATGAGACAAGCCTAAGCTCTCTCAAGCTCGGCTAGTTTACAACCCTATTCAGAGTTGATTGAAGTCATATATGATCTCAGAGTATAAGAGTTAGAAATATTATTATCTTATTTGATTATTGTTATTATCATCATTTGGAGATCATAAGAGCATAGATGGCGACGTCCTTAAATTAATTTGAAACTATCTTATATATTATATATTTACAATCTCACCTATAGAAAAAAGAGATACCATTTGGCATAACCAAAACAAATGAAATTACATAAAGTTTGCACATATTGCAAAAAAGGACAAAACTATTATGGATTTGCACAAACTTTTGTCTCATCTCATCTATATAAAATTAGATCAACCAAATAGGTTTAACAATTTATATAAGACAATTACATTTATATTTTAAATAATTTTCTTTTATTTTTAAAGTCAACAAGATTCCAAAACCATGTCTCCATATGTTGCGCGAATATTTCATTTGTTTGGGTCTATTTTAAAATTATAGTCTTAATCCTAAGTATGAAAACAAACATTGCATTAAAATAATTTATTAAAATTTAATTGATTCCCTTTCAAGCCATTTGTTCATACTATAAACCCTCTTTCCTAAATGGTCAAAGTCTTCAATTTGGTCACCAAATCATAAATTAAAATATATTTGCAATTAATATTTTAAGATGGTTCATAATTAATATATTTGATACATCACCAACAAATTTTCATCGTCCCGCATGAATCTCAAAGTATAACACAAATTTTAAAATAATATTTTAAGCAAGAAACATTTAAATCTTGATAAAAATTCATCAAGAGCTCTGATTTCAACAAACTTATAGTCAAACTAACCGACTCAATGAGATAGACCTAATGATATGAAAATTACTCTCCAATTCAAGTTAAATCAAGCTCAGATCAAGTCATTAAACCATCATTGGAAGATTTCTGGACACATTTGGAAGGTCAAACAGATGTCGACACTGGCAAGTTTATACTCGAATTAAGCGACTCGACAAGATGAATCCAACGAGCCCAAGATCACTCAATTCTGACATCGTTAAGGCACTCAAGTGTACATTAAACGCGACATGATCGAAGAAAACTCTCTAAACCGTCCGATCAAAATGATTGATATTCCTGTATTAATTGCACCCATAATACTATAAATAGACCCCCACCCCTCACATGGAAAGAAACTAAAGTCTAGAGAGAAAGTCTGAGGCATTGAGGAGAAGCTGCAGGTCGACCACCGTCGACCTCCGACGACCACAGTCGACTGTCGTCGACCTCTAACAACCCTCATCAACTACCACTAATCACCATCGATCACCACCAACTAAATGCTGTCAGTTGACGTTGTAATCTAAAAAAATATAGTTACAATTTCCCGTCTGTGGGACAAGAGATTCCTATAATCAACAATCAATAGTAGATTTCCGCAACTGAACCAGACCCCGTGGTTTTTCTCTTACGGGTTTTTCACGTAAAAACTTATGGAGTCATCACCGCTTGTTTTTTCTTTCATTTATGTGTGTGTTGAACTTTCGTACAATGCTAAGACGATAGTAGTCCCGACCCGCCGTGAATTTCATAGCGCGCATCAATATTATCTATGAATAAAAAATTTGATTTAAGTGGATTTGGGCAATAATTTGTATATTTTTTACCTATTGAACCCTTCACCTTAATTTCCATCAAATGAAATAAAAAGATAAATGTTGCTTTAGTACTTTATTTATTTTTTAAATTTATTTTAAATTAATGATTATAGGGAATAATACGGCCGTTGAGAAGCTTCCTAACACAAGCCATTTAGTAGCTAGGAAGTAGTTAACATTAGGAAGATTTACAAGCATGCCATTTAATTTCTATGTATTTACATATCTACACCTTAACTTCAATTCTTATTATATATATGTCTCCTTATAAATTATGCATGCAAAAATAGCACTTTTACTTCTTAAGAGCTAATATGGTAATATTTTTTTGATGTGATATGAAAATTTTGGATAATATAAACTAAAACAAAAAGTTTATATGTTAGATATGTAAATACATAAGAATTCAGTGGTATATATATGTAAATGTCTTTATATATTAATATAATATCTACTAATTATCAAGCAATGTTATAAAATTATATTATAGAAATATTATATCTATCCATTCCTCTTTGTGAGCTCCTTCCGTGAGTTCCTTCCTAAGCCATGCATGAATTTAGTAAGTTCAATGTACCTTAATAATTGCATGATAAGCATATTGTCACAGACAAACTGTACCTTAATAATTGCATGATAAGCATATTGTCACGGACAAACAGTCTCATATCTTAGGTTAGGGTGCAATTATTAAGGTACATTGAACTTACTAAATTCATGCATGGCTTACACCTACAAAGGCTCTTTTGGGAGTTGACAAGTGGTATCAGAGCAGATTACTGTCTGTCAGGTGTGTGGATTCTCCATGGTTCAGTGGGACCCTCGGTGAAGCTGATCCGTGACAAGGGCATCACGTGATTGGGTGATTGGGTGGAGGAGAATGTCACGGGCAAAAATTCCCACATAGGCTAGGTGGGTGTAGGGCCGAAAAGTAGTATTTAAGTCTTGGGCTACCCGCCACACACAAAGGAGGTGACAATATGCTATGTTGCCTAACTAGGCTCAATTTCTTCAATTTTTTTTATTTTTAAATAATTCATTAAATCATTTTAAATTATGGAAATACATATGAAATCAAACAAAATTATTAAATTTTAATCAGAGAAATACTTCTCATGCGATTATCCTCATCTAATAATTTCATAAGACAATTAATAAATTAAAGTTTTTTTAAAAAATTGAAATTCAAAATGAGCGATGAAAATTTTAACTTGGAAAAAAAAATAAAAAATTAAATATATTATTATTATTTTAAATCTAACGGCTTGGAACAGAGAGATGACAACCTTGTAATTACGATGTACACTACGAACATTTCATGAAATATGAGGGAATTGAGCTAATTTTAAAAAAAATATTTAAAGTCCTCCTTTCCTTAGTTCTGTACTCATGCAAGTAAGGCACCCTTCACCCAGACAAATTTATTTACACTATAAGTTATAAAAATATAATATTTTGTACAACAAATCAACTATATTCTACGACTTATGTCTACCATGCCCATTAAAAAATTGGTTGAATTTTATAGGTATAAGAGTTATTTTTGTATAGCCTTATCGAACTTAGTTGAAGAGTGTGACAAGGTGGACTGTCGAATTCCCTTGCCGAGCTGTGCCACTAAGCTGACAAGTTTATAAATAGGAGTAGCCAAGTACTAGTCACCAAGCATGAGTCGAATACCAACAACCAGGCGTGAGTTATGAATTCGCCCACTGCGATATGCTCAACACGTTCACCCAATGGGCTAGATCCACCTCAATGTCTAAAAGATCGGCTTTGTTAAGAAGGGCAACTAGCTTCAAAAATGAATAGCTCTATGATGGGTTATCGTTAAGGCTGAGTAGGCGTTCACCCAATGGGCTAGATCCACCTCAATGTCTAAGAGATCGGCTTCATTAAGAAGGGCAACTAGCTTCAAAAATGAATTGCTCTATGATGGGTTATCGTTAAGGCTGAGTAGGTCGATCAATAAAGGTATGTTCCAATGAGTTTTTTAGGGACTAAGTGTCGAGATGTGGTGCTCCCTTTCCTAAAACTCTTTTCTTGGGATCCAAAATTTTGAAAAATAGGTGTAAAGTAATAAAGGATTTATACATTTGTTTTACACAGGGAGTTTGATTTGAGTCGTGAAATTTTGAAATATTTGAAATTCATTATGGAATTCATTCTCAATGAATTTAGATCAATTCATCTCATTTTTTGTAAATCTCAATTACACCACAAAGAATGAAGCTTAATTAGCAACCCTGCAGTGATAAAATATTTCATACGGACACTGCACGTCCGGACTGCAAACCACTGGACGCCAAGTCAACATACACCTCATCAACAGACGACATGACGGTTGGTGGTTGACGATCCGGACAGACATCAGAATATTTTTCATCTATAGTCATTTCCCACAAAACTATCCACCATCATTGTTGACTAACCGTCATTTCCTCTGCCCATCCTTGCTGGCTGTCACCGTGGCCTATCCACCATTATCACAAAACATTGATTTCATCTTTTAGGGTTCCAATCCAAATATTTATAAAGGGGGGGGGGGGGGGTTGGTGGGCCTCTGAACTGAAACATTTAAACCAGTCACCTGATACCAGAGTGGCCTGGACTGGCATTCTATCAAACAGCAGTGAAATCAGAAAACTTCTATATAAAACTGCATCTAATTATTTACCTGCTCCCAAATCTCATTCCTCCTTAAAATTTTCACAACTCAGAGCCAAAGAAGATGAAGAAGAAGGAGGCATTCAAAGATCATTTTAGAGGAACCTCAGACTTGCAGGTTTTGAGAGGAATCTCAGATGAAGTGCAGACCAAAGCTCTCTGCTGCAGATGCCTCAAGCTCTGCTCCATGCTCACCTGCACCATTTCTGCGAGCATCTTCTTCGCCTTCCCCGCGCAGTCTTCGCCCTCCATTCCCGACACGATCGAACAGACAATGTTCTCCAATGCGTCGGCTTCCAGTTCCGATCTCTGGTACGGAGACTTCCTCAGCAGATGCAGGAGTTCCTTGGCTTTGATTCGAGACCTCGGCGTTCCATGAACCGTGAGCTCCAGAAGACCAGGAATCGCCCCTTCTTTCAGAATGATCTCTCTGTATCTATTTCTATCGCTCTCACACATGGTCAGAAGGGCCCCGACCGCGTGCTCCCGGCCATGGAGGGAGCCTTCTTCGAGAACTTCGACGAGCGAGAGGACGCCGCCTTGCTCGGCTGTTAAGGCAGCCCTTCCTTCGTCGTAAGCGAGGAGGGATTCGAGGATCGCGCAGCACTTGTCTGCGGTTTTGGAGGATTTGTTGCAGGTCTTGAGGACGGCGATCAATGGGGGGATTGTGTGTGATTTGAGGATGGTTTCGAGGTTGGAGGAGATTGTGGAGAGATTGTAGAGAGCCATGATGGCGTCGATCTTGGCTTGCGGGTTGCCGTTGATTAGAGTATCGATAAGGAGAGGGATGGCGCCGCAGGAGCTGATGATGGGCTTGTTGTGAGAGGTGGCGGAGAGGGTGAGGAGGACGGCGGTGGCGTATTCCTGCAAATTTGAATTTTTTGATTGGAGGAAGGTGATGATGGGGTCGAGTGCGCCGGCATCAACGATCTTGATCTTGTTCCTGCAACGAAAAATAGGGTGAGTTCTGCTTCAAATCATCAAGGACTGATAAAATAGAGAAGATGAAACATACAAAAATACATTAATGATGTGGAAGATTTACATAAATACCAATTTATTCTTTTGTATTTACATATCTGACATAAAGATTTCATTTTTACATACATACCAGCTTGCCTAAGCATGAAGAGGTGCATTTCATTTTATAAAAGCTAGAATGGTGGTATTTTTTATGTGATATGAAATATTTGGGGGGTATAGATGTAAAAAAAACAAAATTTGGATGTTATAGATGTAAAAACATAAGAATTGGGCGGCCGGTATGTAAATGCCTCTAATTTGAAAACAACAACTTTAGTCTCTTAAATGTATCATATAATAATGCTAACACCTATGCTGAGAAAAGAAGATAGGAAAACAAAAAAAATTGCATTAAAACATTGAATAATTCACAGATATGGCCTGATACTTGATTGAGTTTGTATAAGTTGTTTCTTCATAGGACATTAATTAGGCTCTATAACTCGACAGAGGAGACTAATTTCTTGACAAAAGTTCTTACAGGAGCTTCAAAGAAAGCTACTTTAAAGCATGAAATTTTGGTAAATGTAAATTGGCCTTAGAGAAAAAATGGAATTATACTCCTAAATGCATGCAATCAAAACAAGCAATGCAAGTTAACTTTTTTGTAAAATCGTGTAAAAAATTTCTAATTCAAATTCATAATATCAAAGCATCAAGAGATTTACTAGTCAGGCTGTAAAAAAGATCGTCATTCATGATCAGTGCATGTTTGATTTGTTCGTTAAGCAAATGAGTCAAACACAAATAATTTTTTTTATCCCTATTTTCAAACAAACAAGCCAAACACAACTAAACTTTTGTTTGATCGTATTAGACTCTTTTTTTACTCAAATTAATTAAATAATTAAATAAGTAATAACACTATGGTATTATTATAATAAATTTTTATGCGGCATTTAAAAAAAATGTTAAATTTTGTTAATTCTCAAATCATCTTAGTTAATTTTGAGCCAATCACGTGCGGAAACGAATCAAAGAATTGGAATTGAGCCGAACATGAACATGCATGCTATTCAAGAGCCATTTCAAACAAGTCGAAAACAAACAAGCATAAGCTCTGCTCTTGTACACCCCTATTTACTAGTCGATGAATCTAAAGATAAAAAAGCTCTTTTGCTTAAATTCAATCTAAAAAATATATAAAAGATCAAAATCCCAACAACATGGCAACTTTTTAATCCTTAATCACATTTATTCCGCGTAAATTGTCCCATACAAATATAGCATAATTGAGGGAGAAAAACACAAATAAAGTTTATGTCTAAAGTTCAAAAGAGGAGCTCAAAAGAAAAGGAAATGATATCAGGCATCAATATAAAAATTAATATTTAGAAGGTTTTTTTAGGCAATGACGATAGAGGAGGAATATTTTACCATAAAGGGATAGTACAATTATGGGTGAACTTTAGGTGAAAAGAATAAATTAACATAAATTAATTTCCCATTTTCAGGCTGTAAATGTGAAAGCAAAAGTTGCTCAGAATTTAAGCATGAAGGCCCCACTCATCATCATCATTTTTCAAGTTTTTACAAATCAATACAAGGGCATTTACATACCATTTACATATCTAACCCCTAAACATTCATATTTACATGTATGTCACTCAAATCTCTAACATTACATTAAAAATACTATAATCATTATCTTTTAAAAGTGAAATACACATCTTCATGCATGGGTTTATGACCCCAATACATTATAGATGTAAATATCACTTTTTAGGTGTTAGATATGTCAATACATAAGAACCGTGTGGTATGTATGTAAATTTCCCTTTGATTAATCCCATCATTATCAAACAATCCACTTTTAGGGAGTGTTTGGCTGCCTATAAAATTTACATTAAATGGGATTTAGTAAATCAAGTAAATCCGGATTTATCAAATCTAAATGCGATAAATCCAAAATAATTATTTTTTTTCAATTTAAAAATAAATCCATTAAATTCGTTAATCGTGTTTGACACAAATCCATTCATGTCGTTTCTTCCCAAGCTAAACCCGTTAAATCCACGTAATTATCAGTTTTAACAAATCCAAATTTACGTTAAATCGTGCATAAATTATGCTCGAATTTGGCTACCAAACACCCCCTTAATGTAACTAATACAAAATCATAATAAAGCTTGCATTTAAAGCAACTATATTCTTATAATAACCAATAAAGAATGATTATCATTTGCTTGATTAATATCCATGTGGAGACATAATACAGTGGAAGGAAAAAAAAATGCAGTTTTTACCTAAACTATTTCATTATTACAACTCACTAGGATTTCTTAGCAAATATCACCTCAGCTTCTTTTCAATAATTTCAAAGTAGATCAGTAGGTAAAATTATGAAAATATTTTGACTAAAAATTTAAATTGATTGGGATGAATTTTTTATTTATTGAATTTACTTTTATTGGATTAGTTCGTGCATTGCACTCATCTCAAAGCAAATCTAATGATTATAAAACCCATTTCTAACCTATTAAGAGATTTTTACGCTGACTACTAACAAAAATCAAAAGCTCTAACTCAAATCCCATGTTTAACTACCCTAAACATATCAATTAACAAAAAAAAATTTACAAATTTGTTCGAATTGTAAAAATTAATCATCAAGAAAAGCATGAAAGAGGCCAATTCTTTACAATCATAAACATTGATTTCAACTTATCCCCCTCCGCAATAAACTTACACCTAGATCAACACAAATCCACAGTAAACCAGTACAAATCAATCAAGAATGGCAAGACCCCAAACCAAATCACCTCTGGTTTTTTGAGAGCTAGAATTAGAAAAGCAGGGATGGCAGCCAAACCGCACTCTGGTTTCTCATGTTCGGCTTGTTGGTAATTCAAATTAAGAGATTGAATCCGATTCAAGAAAACTCAAATCATATGCATCAATTGCTGAAATCAAATCTATAACCTAACCCTGCTTCGAGAATCCTCTAGCTATCAACCCAGAAAACACATAAAGATCAGTTCTACACAATCACAACAACAAAGATTTCCACACATTTTCCAAGCAAAACTATACCTAAATCAGCAGGA